TATAATCCTAGGGATCGGATCTAGGTTCATTACATGCATTTGGTCGATTGGTTTAAATGGTCCCATCCTCTAGAGTTGGAATATACCTCATCATTTGACCATGTCGTATCAAATGGAACGATTGGTACGTCAAACCCTTTACACTACCATAAGGAATGGACGTGTGCAGGATTGGGTGAGCAGCTTTCTCAACTCGGGGCAACTCTAAGGAAGATTGCCCCTAAATGATAATAGTAACTTGGTTTACTTAATTCTAATGACGGAAAAGGATCCCAAATGATGCATCTGAATGTATGCAAAGGCAATTTTTCAATTGGATCCAAATCGGAGATTCGAAGCCTACTCAATAGTCCTCTTACTATATTTTTTTAGTTTTAAAAAAAAATGTTAAGTCCCCAGCGGAATTGCTAGTTGTGAGACCCCTTCCGAGTGCCATGGGAAAGATCTGAAGGACGGAGTCGATCCAAATAGGCCCATTGGTTAATTGGTCACGGAAACTGAGAGGAACTCTTTATGGTTCCTTTTTGTTTGATTAGATTGATTAGTCAGATTATGGCTCGGTTAAGCGCTTATGTTATGTTGGGTTGGCTCTTTGGAGTGCTTTGATTGGTGTTGATGTGGTAGAGTTGCCACCTTAATTTGTTTTTGTTTGTTAAGTCCCCAGCGGAATTTGCTAGTTGTGAGACCCCTCCGAGTGCACATGGGATTAGATCTGAAGGCGGTAGTCGATCCAAATGGCCCATTGGTTAAATTGTCACGGAAATACTGAGAGAACTCCTTTATGGTTCCTTTGTTGTATTAGATGATTAGTTTAGATTATGGCGTCAGGTTTAGCGCTTATGTTATGTTTGGGTTGGCTCTTTGGATGTGCTTTATTCTGGTGTTTGATGTGGTAGAAGTTGCCACCTTAATTTGTTGTTGTTGTTTTTCAAGGAAAATAGTAAGAAAAAAAATCTCGTGTTGGACTCCAATTTAGTTTGCCTTTTAGGATAAAGCACTAGCCTTAAAATATTGGGTTCGGGGATATAGGATGTTTTAGTTCTTCTTATCAATATGAATCAAATTGGTTTTCGGGTCTTTCTAATAATATGTGTAGAAATGTAGAATTCAGGTGATTTGCATTATATGTCGATTTGGCTATCGGCTGCTAATGTAACTTACTTTGATATGCCATTAAGAAAACATATAGATAGGGTATAAGACCAACTTCTAGCCTCGTTTTGTCGGAGGAATGTCTATATTTAGTTGCGGAACACATTTGTGCCTTTAAGTCTTCTACCAATGCAGTTCATTGGGGCTATACGAAAAGGACAACTCCAATAAGTCTACCTTAGGCCTGAAATCCTTATGTGCTCATGCACTTCTGATTTACCTCATTTGTATGAGTTATTCAGGGTCTGCTGCGCGAAGTAATGTCTAGATCAATATCTGATTAGTGTAGATGGTAGGAATTGTGTAAAGGTGCTTCACTCATTGAGTGGCTTATAAGGGTTTTTGTTCTGTTTGGTACCGTCTTATAATTTTTGAGAAATGGTATTTAGTGTGTTTGGCCGGATTTATGAGGGACCTGCTTTGACAGTTTATGAAGGTGTCGGGAATGGACCAGGCTTAATGACAAGTTTATTAGTTTTAGTGGTGCCTTATAGCTATGTGATGTTCGCTGGATTGGGAACTCTCACGGTGTTTAATTCGACCAAGAGGCTGTGGTTCCTTTTTGTTTGATTAGATTGATTAGTCAGATTATGGCTCGGTTAAGCGCTTATGTTATGTTGGGTTGGCTCTTTGGAGTGCTTTGATTGGTGTTGATGTGGTAGAGTTGCCACCTTAATTTGTTTTTGTTTTCAAGGAAATATTAAGGAAAAAAAATCTCGTGTTGGACTCCATTTTTAGTTTGCCTTTTAGGATAAAAGCACTAGCCTTAAATCATTGGGTTCGGGGATTAGGTTTTTAGCTTCTTTCAAATGAATCAATGGTTTGGGTCATAATTGAGAAATTAAAATCAGTGTTTTGCATTAATGTCGATTTATCGGTGCATGAACATACTTATAATGCATGAAAATATAGTAGGTAGACCAACTCTAGCCTCGTTTGTCGAGGATTCTAGGTAGTGCGACACATTCCCCTAAGTCTCTACCAATCAGTTCGGTCGAAGGCCCCGCTACCTAGGCTGAAATCCGTAGTATGCCTTCGTACCTCATTTGTATGAGGATCAGGGAGCACGAAGTTCTACCATCGATTAGGATGGTAGGGAATTTGAAGGTGCCACTCAGGGAGTGGACTTAAAGGGTTTGTCGGGTGGACCGTGCTTTTGTTTGGAAAACTGGTTTTGTGGTTTTGCCGGACGGACCATGCTTTGACAGTTTATAAGGTGTCGGATGGACCAGGCTTAATTGACAAAGTTTAAGTTTAGTGGTTATACCTTAATGCTTGTGATGTCGCTGGATTGGAACTCCACGGTGTTAATCGACCAAAGAGGTCGAGTCTTTCTCCAAATAAGGTAAGGTAGGGCACAAGGACCCAAGTTATAGTCTTATAATATACTAGTGTTAATTAACAGATTATTATTTAATTCTTAAATTAATTAATAATAAATTAATTAACTATAGCTTTAGTCTAATTAGGAAGACTAAAGTGTGAGTGAAATTCAAAAGAATCGACTTTTGAGTACCAAGTCGAGCCTTAAACTCCACTAAGAAAGAAGAGTAAGGTCGGACTATATTGCCTTAGAATCGCATAAGAGAGAATGAGAGTCGTCGAAGCTTGAGAAGCGCTCAATCAAGCAACAAGATGTGCTTGAAATGAGGGGGTAAATGCCATATTTATAGGCCAACGGTGCTGAGTCATGGGCACGTCGATACCGAAGTCCCCTTTTTCAGTACCGAAGTGCGCCTTTTCGATACTGATTAAGGCCTTCGGTGCATGCCATTTTGGAATCAAAATTTAAGTGATCGGCGCCGGTGAGGAGGTGGTCGGCACTGATCAGGGCAAATTACTGCCATGCCCCTACTCTTTTATTTTAGGGTTTTCAAGATTCCGGATCTCCTTTTGAGGCCTAAACTACGTCCGATCCAATTGATTCTCGCCTCATTGGAACTATGGAGCCCGATGCTGAAATCATGATCAATAGCTCAATGCACTACCTCATTTTTGTGCCACTTGTACCGATTTTGTAAAAATTGGACTCGTCTCGTTTCAGCCCACTAGTGGCCCATGCCACCTAGGCCCCAAAAATTAGGGCTACCCTAATCTCCATTTGCCTATAAATAGGCTCTGGATTCAAAGGATTAGAGGTTGGATCCTTAGATTCTAAGGGAAAACTCTTACAAATTTAATACTAAATCTCAAGGTTGAATCTATAAACAAGTTTTATAGTTTAAGTACAAAAGATTAATCAATCTTTAACAAAACTTCCCTTAGCTTTCATGATCAATCTCCAACAAACACTCATTTTAATCTCTAAATCTCGGATTGTTCATTAATGATCAAAGCTTTTTGGGTGTTCTTGAATATATGCACTCAATCTTTGAGATTTCTTCAAAACAAGGTAACATATGAGAGTCCTTTATCTTTTACTTCATCTTTTTCTTCTTTCTAGTTATTAAAATCACTTGTTCTATATTGGTTGTGAGGAAAACCCGTGATCAACCAAATAGCCTTAGGTCTATGTAAGAAGCGGCACACACCACAATATTGTGGCACATGCCATACGTTGTGGTGCACGCCACTTCCTTGACGTCCAAATAATATGTTTGCTCTTTTTCTTGGCTCCAATCTGTGAAACCTAGCAACCATAAGAGAAATGGCACACACCAATACATGTGGTGCACGTGGTTTCAATCCAGAGACTCAGACTCTATTTTTTAAGTGCTTAAGTTCAATTCTTCAGGTCCTTTTAGGTCTAACACTAAGCACTAATGCTTTAATGGTGTTCTAAATCCATTTTTGCCTTAATAATCAATAATAAATAAGTTTCGAGTAGTGATGGTCACACATCAAATTCTTGAACTCAATATCTTGTTCTAATATAATCCTAACACATTTATTTTACTGTCATTTACTTTATTGCAATTTAAATACTATGCACTTTAATCTTTTATTTATTTATGTTTCAACTAACATCTAATCTTTGATTTTGATTATGCTTTATTTAATGCTTATGTTTGATTATTTACTAAATCATTCTATTAACTACCTAATTAGTTTAATAATTATATAATCATATTATTTTCATTGTTTACCAACTAATCACCTAATTAATTAATCTAAATATTACCTCGTAACTACTAATCCATACTGCTAAATTATATCTAAACATTTAGATTATTATCATCACTAAGTTAACACACTAATCATAATTAATATCATCTTAATTAAGGTCGATTTATCAATTGGTCCTTAAAGTCCTTAATTATTTACAAATTGGACATACTTGGGATAAATGGACACATGTACAAATTTAATTCACTCTAGTCCATATCTAATCGTTAAGTAAAGTTCCAATTATAATATTAATTCTTATATTGTCCAAATGCTACATGTTCTCAGTATAGATGATAATTAATTTAATTTCCTACTTAATTAGGTCACATTAATAGGAAAAGTTCCTGTAGTAATAGCAGCAAAATGGCTTTCCTAAGAAAATTCTTCATTTTATTTTTCGAACAATTAATATTTTTTCCGTCTCAAAATTTAAATCCTTTTTTTCTAAAATAAAAAAATTTATTATAAATATTGATATTTAAATTTTAACTTTTCGCTACGATTTTATCTTTAAAAAATTTTATAAAGTTTTTTAAGAAAATCAGTTAAATTAAATTTAGCCATCAAATTGCAACCCGATCATCAACTCGGTTGAAGTTCAATATTCTGTCCTGGTTTAAAAACGGAGCGTAGCTACTTGTCGCCACAAGAAAGGCATTGTTGCTGCATGCATGGCACGTGGAAATCAATCGTGGCTAGCTCCAACTTCTTTTCACTTCATAAATCCTTGTGTATATTTTTTCCAACAAAGAGAGAGTCCTTAATTTCTTCAAACGAACAGAAATATGCTATCAGCTAAGGAAAAAATCAGCAATATGGCAAGTGCTGCCAAGAAGCATGTAACCATATGCAGAGCCAAAGTTGATGAAAAGGTATTAAATATGTATTCTTCTTTCTTTCATTTTATTTTATTTACTTTTTAATTCACATGATTGGTTTTACTAAGATAAATAAGTATCATCGTATATCTCATTTAAAAACAACAAAATTTATTTATAACATAAATTCTTTTCGTTTATACAAAATTTAAACTATTAATATAATAGACGTTTTAGTTTTTAATTATATCAAATTTATTATGAAAATACTTTAAACTTTTTATAAAAAAATAATTTTGGAAATTATTGAAATACCATATAATTTGATTAAAAGCATTTATAGTATAACCCATTGTTTGGAATAAATGAATTCATAAACTTTTATGGAATTCATTTAAAAATCCATATTTTTGTGTTTGGAATGAAAAAAATATATAGATTTCAATTTTAGAAATTCAATTATATAAAATTGGACATAACTACACCAAATTCCACAAAATAAATGAAATTTCCAAATAAATTTTATAAAACTAAGCAATTTAACTTTTTATGATAAAACTATCATTCTCCTTTTATAAAGTCAATTTTTTTTCTTTTTTTTTTGCTCATTTAACTTATTTATTTTATCAAAGTCGATCAAACCCAAACCCATTTAAATTTTTTTTTTTTAGAAAAATATTTTTTTATTATTTTGTTTTTTTATTTTGCATTTTTTTATTGAGGAGAGAGATTTAATTTAAAATTACATTAATAATTAAATTAAATGCAATAATTTTATTAATATTATTTTTGTTTTATATTTTTATTTTAATAGAAATATGAAAAAATTATATAGCATAATGTAAATATTATTGGCATTTATTATTTATTTTTATGAAATCATTTCAAGGAGATTTTAGGAAACAAGCAAAAGAATTTTCAATTATAAATTTATTTCATACATAATTACATGGAATTGAATTGAATTACATGTTTTAAATTAATCATGCAAAATATGAAAAATAATAAATTGATCCCTAAATTATAATCAAATTAACATATGAGGATCTCTATTTTGAAAAATTAACTATGAAGTCTCTAACTTCTTTTTGTTAACACATTAGTCCTTTCATCCAAAATAATTTACTTTAAACTCTCAATTGATTGAGGAAATAGTCCCTAAATTACGTCAAACTAATTATGCAGTTTCTAACTTATGATCTCCATTAACATTTTGGTCTTTTTTTTCGGATCAAGTGTCAATAAGATCATTATTTAGAACTACAATTAGTTTTTAGAAATAGAAGTCCTCACATATTAATTTATTATCTTCCCATAATTTAATATTTAATTACATTACATTATGATTATGTTTACGTTTCCATATGGCTTGCCTGACATGACCTGAATTTAATCGAAGGCTGATAAAACTGTTGCAGGTAGAGAGAGCGTCAGCAAGGACACATGAACAAAAACAGATAGCAAAGGAGCGAAGAAAGGCGAAAGAAGCTCAGGCTAAGATGAAATTGCATCAAGAAAAAGCTAAGCATGCTGCGGAGAAATTGAGTGGGAGGCGAGCACATCATCTTTCCGGTGCGACCCATACAAACCACCACTATCCAACTACAGTAGATCCTGTAGTTGGAACCCATGCACATCAGCCTGTAGGAACCACAGGTACCATGGCTGGAACAACTGTTCCTACTTACCCTTTAGGAGGCCATCCTCCAGGTTATAAGTACGTCTAGGCATAATTTGTATCTTTTTTTTTATATCCTTTTCGTATGTGTCTGGTGTGTAGATGCTTGTGTTCTCTAATGAGTTCAATGCGTGAATAAGGAGCAAGAAAGACTTCAAAGCTTTCAAATACTATCTTTTATTCACTTGATATGTACTACTAATAAAAGAGATGGAAAATAAAGAACAATACTTTAGCACTCAACATTTATAATATAAGAACATAACAATGAACCTTTAATAGGGACATAACAGATCAAGATTCCAGAGTGAACAATGATAAACATCTAAATGCCAATCATGCGTTTTGAGATCATGAACTCATCAGCATAAGCAACTTGTTCATTTTAATTCATTCAAAGATCTTACAAAAACAAATACGAGAAATTGCATTGGGTTAGAGAACAGAACCCCCACACAGAAATTTTTTCATTTGTTTGGAGTCTACACTTTACAGAGATCAATTAATGCATCATACATTCAACCAAATCATTATATTTTGGTTTTTTTCTTTACTATTCTCTTCTTTTCTTTTTTTTTTTTTTTCTTTTTTCACAAAAAGCAAAGTTGCCCAGACAATTTGTCAACTGTATGTGATATTCCGATTAAACAAATTGGGTAAAAACCTTGTAACACAGACATTAATACGATATGTGGTGGGTTGGGTTTTTGCACAGTTCATGGCACATTGACAAACCACAAAACTAATCTAAAAGAATTAGTAGCATCAGCCAATAACATTACTCACGCTACAGACTTAATTGATAAAACCCAAACGCACAAACCTCAAGTTCACTGGCGAGATACATCATACCCACTGGAATCTACCTTGATATTCTACACACTGTTGGATTTTTCCGCCATGAGAAATAACCTGATTCTTGATTTTTGCTGGTCGGGCACTTAGCTTCACTTGAAATCTCGGTAATGGTTTATGGTGGTCATCAACAGTGGAAGATGTATGTGGTAAGACCTCTTCAAGGAACTCATCTGCCACGTCTCCATCTTCATCTATCTTGAGGCGCCTTGCATGCCATCTCAGACCCTAGAACAAAGATTCAAGCTTTTTTTAACATACTTTTAAGGCATGAGATTCGATAATAAATGTCAAATATGACAGGGCCAAAACTATGAGTCTATGACTGCATAATATATGGAAATTGGACACGAGCCAAATACTGCAGTGTAGTCTGTAAAACAGGATAAAACCAAGTGAGGAACACTGCCTGGTAGACGTAACATGGGTAACCTTTGTTGCTCAGGATTCAATATGCCTTTCAGAAAAACCAAGAACTCTAGAACAAACTAGAGTGTGATTCTTAATGAAGGCAATAAAACTGTTGGAAGTATGTGGGTAATCCCACATTGGATGACATTTAATGAAAAGAGTGAATCAACCAAAATGGCTTAGATCATTTTATATTAAATGCAAGCCCAACTCATTGGAAGCCTAATATTTAATATACCGTTAATTGAATTTGATTACGTTGCTCCTAGGGTCTAGATTCTTAACAAAAAATGAAGGTATACTGCATGCACACAAGTATTGTATAAGAGAAGCACAACACATGGATACTTTTTACACAAAAGTCATATATCAGATGAACTGAAACAATCCCAGTTCCACCTGTTCTTGGGCAGATTCTGGCTGGTTTTGATGAGAGGTTTTTCGGGGAAAAAAAACATCAGTTCTTAACTGGGCATTCTGGCCAGTTTGGCCAAATTCCGATCTGTTTCTGGCTGGTTTCCACCCACTTTTAGTTCGGTTCCTCACAGTTGAGGTTCAGAACCTCTAATCAGAACACACTTAAAAATGTAGTAGACAAGCAAAGTACGCATGCATGTGCTGTGCTGGGAGAGAGGGTGAGAGGGAGGATCCAGTAAGCAAGATATTTGCCAGTGATGAACAGTAAAAATGCACAAGCTGGAGATGTCTCAGTCTGCCACAGCACAAACTATTACTGCTAGAATTACTAGAATCCACATTTTATAGCAAGCAAAGAGCTTGAAAAACAAAAAGAAAAAAAAAAATACAAGCTGTGTTAGGACAAGGAAGAGGAAGAGTAGAGAGATTGGAGAGAGAGAGTACAGAGGACTAAAAGAAAGAGATTATGAAAAAAAAAAAAAAAAAAAAAAAAAAAAAAAAAAAACCTCACAGTTGAGGTCAGAACCTCTAATCAGAACACACTTAAAAAACTGTAGTAGACAAGCAAAGTACGCGATTGCACTGTGCTGTGCTGGGAGAGGGGTGGAGAGGGAGGATCCAGTAAGCAAGATATTTGCCAGTGCCAATTGAACAGTAAAAAATGCACAAGCTGAAGAGTCTCAGTCTGCCACGCAAAACGTATTACTGCTTAGAATTACTAGAATCCACATTTATATGCAAGCAAAGAGCTTGAAAACAAAAAGAAAAAAAAAAAAAATAAAGCTTTTGTGTTAGACAAGGAAAGAAGAGTTAGAGAGATTTGGAGAGAGAGAGTACAGAGGACTAAAAGAAAGAGATTTATCGAAAAAAAAAAAAAAAAAAAAAAAAAAAAAAAAAAAAAAAAAAAAAAAAAAAAAAAAAAAAAAAAAAAAAAGACAACAAAAAGATTTAATTGAAGCGTAGAGAAGAATGAAGAGAGAGAAAGAGAGAAAGGAGGCTGTGGAAGCCCTAAGGAGCATTGTACTCTTTCCTTACCTTTTTTTTGTTTGTGTGTGTGTGTGTGTGTGTGTGGATTGTGGTGCTGCTTTGGTGGGTTGGGTACCAATCAAAGAGGTTGAGAGTAAGCACAAGCTCACCCATAAGCTCTTCAAGCTTTCTCCACCAAAGACAATAAAGGACGAGACAAATGCCTCATCATAGAAGCTTTGCTTCCAGGACAAAGTCAAGCCTAAAAGACCAACTTGCTGCATGGAAGCAAGCATTCTGAGCTAGAAGGAAGCAAGTAAAGGCATTGTAGGCCAACCATAGGAAGGAACGCACCATAATCCACAAATTGCTTATAGGATGTCAACAACGAAGCTAAGACTTTATACTGCATTTAATAAGGAGCGGGCTACATGGTAGTACACCATAAGTATAATATCAGCCTTGAATTAATAGCAAAGATAAAATAACACTAAGAAAATAGAAAAAATTGTAAATGGCATCATCTTGCACCTAGAAAAAGGCATGTGCCTAGACAATAAGGTGCATGCCACAAGTCACCTGCCTAGCCATGGCAGTCCACCACCGGACCCAGCAACAATTGGCCTTGAGCTTGAGGCACACTCCTTTAACAACTATGAAGATAGGAAAACAATTTACAAGTGCAAATTTGTCAGAAGTGCAGAAGTCAACCTCCTTTTTTGGCCCAGAACCAGTGACTGCTCAATTCTCCAGATCTTTTTGGCGCACCACTATTTGCTAGATGCACGAAAAATTCCATTGGAACATGCAAAGAGGCAATTAAAAACCAGGGGGAGGGGGGTTTTGGTAAATGAATGGCTGGTATTAGATGGCTAATATTGATCTAGTTGAAAATTGCTAACAATACCAAATATCCAACTTTCTAAATGAAATCAGCCACGGAAATGGGGGAAACAGATCGGTCAAAGAACTCTCCAAAGTCTAAAGCTTGCTGTCATTATGCAGAAGACAGTCAAAAGAATAAAAAATATGAGGCACAGAATGCTATGTGATGTGTCCCTTCAATCAAGTTTTACTAAAGCATTGAGAATTTTCTTAATTACATTTATGTTATTAGTAGTTTCAAAAAATAAACGGAGTTTCTTTACGTAATTTAGAGCTTCAGTTTCAAAACTAGAATTTAATCTCTTTGTAGCTACAAGTATAAGTTTACCTATAAACAGCCTACTCCTAATGCTAGTTGTATCAAGCATTAATAAAGAGAACTTCAATAAGAAATTATATTCTAAACTTTTTCTCTGTCTACTATTCTTGGGGATTCTAACAATTGTGAGTTTCTTTCCAGTTTTTCTAACAAATTTCATGAAAGGGGGGGGGGGGGGTGTATACTTCCAGAGTATATGTTTCCCTAAAAATGAAAAACATTAGCGATAGTTTATATTAGTAAAGTACTTGTAAACCTTAAGCTGTAGGCCATTTTCACAATAATCAAAGAAAATAATGGAAGCGATACATGTAAATGGAAATTAAAATTTCAAATGCTTTGTTACTTATAAATTCATAATTATATCAGAAGTTATTAATAAATTCAGTTTCACCATATGCACATGCATAATTAAATTTTATTTAACATTTTAATTTCATTATATTCACATTATTTAGATGGTAACATGATCCAAATTACTTGCCTATGATTTTACCTACGTGGAGGAGTTTCCCTGACAGTGGGTAATTTGACAATTAAAAGATTTTGTGAACAAGCAGCATTTTGGTTTTTTATTCTGAAATTAATGGGCAGGATTTCCAAAAATTAGTTTTCAATTTAATGGCCCAATTTTGATAGCTTTGACTTGTTGGCCTAAAACTAGGTTCAATTAAGGAGGCATCCACCTCTCCTTAACCTTTCTTAACTGGGATCAGAATATCAATTGTATCTCCTTAGCGGAACATCAAAAATCCATATTTGGAGAACAAACCTTTCGGTAATTCACCTTATTTGATTATAATCGCTTTCTTCTTTCTTGCTATAAATACCTTATATAATTTCAGTGGGACTTTTAATTCATTGTTGTTATCCTTGGATTCTTTTTCTCATTCCTCTTCTTTATCTCTCATTATTACGTTTTCTCAGTACAACAGTTAATTCACCCACTGTATCCTTCTCTCCCTAAACACTGGACCTAACTTACTACTCTCTAAACTTGCCGCCATGGTGGATCCGGTTAAAGACTGCCTGTTCAATTCCTTCTGTATCCAAGCTTTAGATGGCATCTCTCACTGTCAAATAAAGATCAGCAGGCATTACCGAAATAGGCCTGATTAAGCCATCACATTCACAAATTTAACTAGATAAAAATCATTTCCCCAAGGTTCACAAACTCCATAACTGCTTTTTGTACCCCCAGAGAGCCTTCAAGTGGTCGCAAACAAAATAATCATAACCTATAGTCCTATCAAGGAGTTTAATAATCAAGGACCTTCGCCAAGGTTTGGGCAGACATCTCTTTTCATTATGCAGAGAGGAAGGATTATGTAGGACACTCAGCCTCCCCCTTGTTCAAAATCTGCATCGGCCAGGAAGCAACATCCTCTTCCTCCTCCCAATTCCACAATCATTATCCATCTTTGATATTATTAGTGTCCCCGCCATTAAGCACAGAATTCACGATACAACACTTTCACTAGCCTTCAAAGGGTTGTAAAGTAACCACTCGAAGAACCACCCTAGGCGAGGAAAGTCCCAATTTTTTTTTTTTTTAAACCTTTCTATTAATTTGTTAGAAGATCAGATATTTCCTCGGATTTTCCCAACCTTACCATGCCATAGGGGCTCATTGTGCGGCCACTCTCCATTACTACTTTATCATTTGATTTCATTGCAAGGTGCCACCTGAATGTGTTGGTTAAAACACACTATTATTACTTGTAATCCTTCTTCCCCCACTTAAAATGATAGAAACATCCCTGTCAATATCCTCGTCGATCATCATTATGCTACAAGTTGCCAAAGACAAGCATTCCTTACCAAGATACAAACAAACAAAAACAACCAGAAACCACAAGATAAACATTGACTTATGGAAATTCAATAGTGTTTGTCGGCACCATTGTGATAATTTACTTATTTTAGAATAAAGCACAAAAGAGCATTACTAAAGTTACATCTTTGTTCTACAATCTCTTGTTGCTCCATGGCATACAACAATGAAACTATCACTTTTCTCCATAAACACAAGTTACTAACTCCTAGAGCTCATCACTCTCACCCAGATGACGTTCCTATTGCCTGCCTTGCAATGGTGCCAATACCCACTGCTGGCTAAGAGATTACCACTTCCATTTACACATGGTCAGGGCACTGCGTTTCTTGCATTGTAAGCATCACCTTTCTCGACCCCTCTAGGTTGTCTTCTAGAATTGGTGCCTGTTCACTTGGTTCAACTCACTTTGTTTTTCTGTCCACTATTGATTTCCATTTACTTGCAAATACATAGGTGCCCTCAAGTTCTATTAGTACCACCTTGTGGCTACTATGAACATCCTATCGCAGGATGGCTAATCCTCAAACCTTCATTCCAGGCCTCTTACATCTCGCATTTGATTCATCTGTCATAAGCATCTCCATTGATTGCATTCAATCTCCCCTATTGGCATAAACCCAAAGAATACAAGCGAGCCAGGATTCTAGCTCATGGGGTCACCTCAAAGCTCTGTTGTGCACCCTAGTGGGCTAACACAATTGACAAACACTTTCCCAATGTCCTACTGGTCAGCTTCGACATTGGGTCATTTCATTAGGTTGTTCACTAGCCTTTATATCCAGTTTTCATCCAAGTTCTCTCACAACAATTCAACTAGCATGAAATGCACCAAACTTTTATGGGCAGTTCTATAGCCTTAAAAGCATCTGATGTATTTTTATTCCTTCCCCGCAACCCCCCGGGCAGCTCTTTTCCCTTAGGATGAAATTTAGTCAATATTAAATTTAGCTCACAGTTTGTAAGTTTTGTAACATAGCTATCCGCTCTAGCCAAAGTTTTACGATCTGAAATCACATGGCTAGGCTCACATTTTATAGTTCATCAAATCACATGTTATTTTCCCACATTGCACTGGACTTGTCCCCATTTGCACGCTTGATATAACAAGAAATATAATTATGACCAAGCCTCACCAAAGTAATGATCAACTTTCTTGTTGCAGAACAGTCCACAAACATTTTACTTCTAATAACAAAATGTACAAGGCCAGCACAATTGGACCCTTACTCGTCCTGCTATTGGAGCCCTAGACTTACCTCATTTTAGCCTAGCAAGTACCATAGTACCAAATACTGCGACACGACAGACAATCCTATTATGGCGAAACACAAGCCTTGTGGGCATTCTGGCCAGCATATTTTTCCCCCATAAGAAAAACTAGGCCAAGGAGACACTTGCATTATGGGCGTTAGCTCCATTAGTGTTCATGGGACTCCTTCCCCTATTGGAGAACATTCCCCTCTGGCCAGAGTACGATGTCATGCCTTTCCTAGTTACCACTTAGAGCTAACTTAAGACCCCCCAAATAATCATCCATTCCAGCCTCATTTGGTGGTGGAGAGGCATTACACCAAAATGTGTTCCCCTTTGTCAAAGTGTCATAGGAACAATTTACACCTCTATGAATTATCATAGAGGGTCTCAGGTTCAAGCCAAGTTACACATTGCATGACAAACCAAAAACATACCTATCATACCCCAAAAAACCATAAGGACTAAAAGGACCATAACAAAGTAAAATGCCCAATAATTCCATAAGAAGTAATGGCCCAAGAATTTGACATATCTTTTATCACATATATAAAATTTAGAACCTATATGCAAAAATGTCATTCCTTTGTTCAAATTTACCAAAGTGAAAAATGCACTTTTGACCACTGCCCAGGCAGAATTAGTTCTGCAAATGAGGAAGCCAGCAATTCAGTATGATGAACAAAATCCTCTTCAGACTGGTGTGAACAGTGGCACAAGCAGCATTCTAGAAAAGGATGCATTCATTATCCAGCAGTGATTTTTGGTGGAGGCTGTGTGGCAATGGGTCCAATGGTCAAATGTATTTCTATTACTTAATCCAAATACTCCAAAAGCCCAACAAACCTCATGAAATTAATTTGTTATTGAATTTTGCAATTAATGTTGTACAACTGGAATATTCAAAAAAACAATGCTTGTTTGCTATAAAAAATCCCTTGTTTAGAACACTATAAATCTTCTTGCTTCTCCAATATTCTGAATTCACAAAAACAATTCTTCAACTTGTAAACGAAGTCTTAATTCACCAGTGGGGGTTAATGCAACATCTTAAGCATCAAACGCGCAACTGTGGCTATTCTTGTTTCTGTTGAAATTACAAGCGAAACATGGCATCTCCATTTCCTAGGATAATTTTTACAGAAATTACTTGAAAACTTTAAAACCACTGTAATTACTATCAAAATAGAGTAAAGTTGCCATTCAGCTGTGCTAATCAAATGATTCAGGTTAATTTGCATAATCTGCACCAAGTAACAACCAAACCAGAAATCAGCTCTATAAAAGACCAACCAAAGTTATTTAAAAAACACTTGAAGCATCGTATACTGCAAGGTCACTCAGACATATCAATAGGTACCAATTTGGGCAGAACATAAGGAAAGAAATTTGGAAACCATGGAATCAAAAAACAAACCTGCTTAGAAAACTAATGGGTTACAATGACCCAAGTACCAAATGGTTTCACCAATGTGTTTCGTACAGTAAGTCGCCACAACAGTACATAAGAGCTCATTTTGGAGGCGCTTGCCTGAAATTACTTTTCCAAAAAACAACAGTTCTAGATGTCATTCAATTTTGGGTTGAAAAGTAGTTTGAGAGTGTCATTTAAAGCTGTTTAAAGCTTTATGTGACTAGAAATGTGAAGTTTTCCTAAAAATAACTTCAATAATCTATGTAGTTCTCAATGTCAACTAAATTAATGCCAAAGAGATTCCTATAATATATGTAATAGGTGCTACGGATGGAAAAGAGAACAAGAAAAGCATTATCAACAGCTGCAAAACTGAAATAATCCATCCCATTTGGAAGAACAAAAATGGACCAATCATCTCGAAAGTAGCAGGGTTATTTCTCAGTACTTGCCCAAATTAGATTTAGGACTCTAACTGCAATAATTCTTACTTCTTGCTAATGCTAATACAAACATTCAGGACCATGAACATGAAATGGCATCCATTCGTTTCCCATTATTAATTTCCCAAGTGTCAATCTTACTATCTCAAAATTTTTTTAAAAAAAAAATGGAAAATCCCTGCTGAAATTTAGGCTTTGCCTGTTATTTCAAATAGTTAATGCAGATTCTAAATGTTCCTAATAACAAATCCAAACAGAAGCATAATAATCGATCACTTAAAATTCAATGAACCCTAAACACCACCAATTAAACTTTCATATTAATCCCTAAAAAAATTTTCAAAACCCCAAAGAATACTCAGCAAAAAGCCATGAATAAAAAAAAAAAAAATTAAGTTTAGAGCAAAAATGAGAAGAAAGACCTGAACGCCGCCATCGCCGGAGCTAGAAGGGACAATAGTGGGCCAAGTTGTGGGCGGGGTCAACGGAAACCTAACAGGGGACGCTGAAGCCTTTCACGGGGAAGCCCAGTTTCGTAGGTGTGGTGGTTGGTTTTGGTGGTTGTGGGGTTTCTTATGATCTTTCGTCATATCTTCTTGTTGTTGGTCTTTCACTTCGTGGCCGCCTTTCGTCTCTGACCAAACCCAAGAAGACCCGGGATCCTCTTAAAGAATCGCATTCGCATTTCCCAACAAAAGAAAAAAAGACTATTTTCAAACTAATCTCTTGTTCAAAAAATTCAAGATTTAACAGATAAACTAAGGGAAGAGAAGGGGTTAGGCGGAAGAATTGTAGCAGAAGAGATGGGCGGTACAATATAGTATAGAGAATGTCTCTTTTTGTTTGCACAACTGCTACAATGCTGTTTTTGCTTTTTATTTCTTTCTTTTCACTGAAAACAATGGATCTCTCTTAAACTCTGGTTCTGTCAGTTTTGGGCGTTTTTGGTTTATTATTTATATGTTTTAATTTTTTTTCCTTTTTCTTTTCATCTTTTTGTAATACTTTTTTTTTTAAATGTTGGGATTGTATAGAATTTGTAATTAAATTTTTAATTATAATAGTAGTTAATAATTTAAATATATTTTAATGATGTAAAGATTTTTTTAACGAAGAAAAATTAAAATTATTTATTTAATATTAAATATTCAAAATGATTCCTATATTTTTAGTCACCAATAAAATTAAAATTTTTTAAAATATCTTCTTCTTTCTTAAATTACTGTTGTTTTTCAGATACTTATACTCATTTACATATATTTATAATTTAAATATTTAATATAATAACTTGCTGTGATTTTTTGTCTAATATTTTGGATTAAAGATTTTATATTCATCTGGTATAAAAATGGGGGATTCATGGATTTCATGATATCAAATTTTTGATGTCTAGTATGATTAATTTAAGACATAAATTTAATTGATGTTTTATATAAATTGAGGTATAAAATAAATTTCATAATTTGTGGAATTAATTTTTTTTCGAAAAAAACACTTCTAAAAAACTAATAATAAATACCAATTCCTTTTTTCTACTTTATTGTATTTAAATTAAAACACAAACAATAGTTTAAACGCCTCTTCTTCAAAAAATTAAATTAAAAAAAGTTAACACGTCATTAAACAGTTCTTTAAAATTCTTTTAAAAAATTATTTTCTATATTAAATAATTATTAACATACTTACATTTGAGCCAAATGCTGATTGTTAAAAAAAAATTTATTTCTATTATTTTTATTTTATAATGGTCAACATCTTAAAAAATTCCTTTTAATTGCTTTTTCAAACAATTTTTTTTTTTAAAAATAAACCTATGAATGTATTTACATATAAAAATTATTTTGATTCAAATTTTTGATAAAATTACATGTAAATAAGCAAAAAAAATTTAAAAATCACTTATGAAAGAGGAGGGTAATTATGCTCATAGGGAAATTTTTTAAATTGCTTAGTTTTTGTGAAAATTTATTCTTAGAAGTTTCCACATATTTTTAGTGGAATTTGGTTTAGTAAAATAATTCAATCTTATAAAATTAAATCGCATAATTGAATTTACATTTTTTCAATTTTAAACGTAATAAAATTATGGGATTTTTCCAAATAAATTCCATTACAATTTTGTAGAAAGAATCATTTGTCCAAACAAGGGGTTAAATATCAAGGAAAATAATTATTTTTCTTTTTAAGGTTTGTAAAACAACCTCCGCCCGAAGGAACAGATGGTAGTTGCCACATCAGTGCTACAGGCACCAACCTAGCTCACAAAATCAAACTTAAAATCTACAAATGCTGAATTAAAAGTGATGTTACAAGTGTTCATGCAGTTTAGTAAACGTCCTAAAATTTTAAACTTTTAGAAAATAATTTGGGAAATCGTACAAAAAGAAATTGCAAAGAATCTCCCCTAAAAACTGAATTCAAAAACTACAAATACTGTGAACAGAAAAATACTTCCAATAAGAATCCTCAAAAACATTCATCCAACAACTTCAATATTACAAAATAATCTCAATCTCCAATATAAATATAGATCCTCGTCGCTCATCCAAATTTTTTCAAACATTCAAAATAAGTATCTCAAATCAAAATTTATAATAAGCATGTATAAGCTTCATACATTCTAAATAACGTTTTTGGCTTAAATAACATCATCAATGTAAATTGCAACTTCAATTAAATTAATGTATACATGTCATACGTTTAAGAATACCATGATAAAGATTGTTAGTTGCTTCTGTAGAGATGAGCAATGAATTCGCTGGATGACAGTTTGAATGTGAAAATGCGGGCGTGCCAGTGTGAGTGAAGGTACACCAACTGAAAATTAAAAGTGCGCTTGATTGACTTTTAGGCTATGGGTCTGGATCCATGGTACGCCACCAGCTGTGCAACTAAAATTAAATTTGAGCAGGGGATGAATCTCGTAAATAAAGATTTTATTGTTTGAAAAGTAAATTGCTTGCTGTGTTGAAAAAGAGAGCTTGTAATTATATGAATGAGAATAACAATGCCTTACAAAATTATAAAGAACAGGCCTTTGAAAATTAAAAAAAATCACTTGACTCGTTGGAGAGTTTGATTTGATTTGTTGAATTCGTGGTTGATTTTTGTGATGGAAACGACCGCGAAAAATTTTTTTCCATTTTAAAAATGTAATTGAAAATTTTAACCAATTGGAAATTTTAGCAAAAAAATACTTATTATTGCTAAACCAGAACCTAATAAACCAGTTTGGAATTTCCGAAACCAAGTTGAAAAAATCCGTAAATCAAACAAGATCGAACAGACCATTGATTGGATCAAACCGGTTCGAATTGAACCGAAATATCTAAAAACCCTTAGATTTTTTTTTTCTTTTTTCATTCTTTCTTCTTTCTTTCCCTGCGGCGCCGCTCACCTCTCTTCTCCCCCTCCCTTTTCTTTCGTTTGCTCCGGCCATCGGCCACCCATTTTTGACGAATGAACACTCTAAGCCATCAAACTCCTTGCAAGGAGTTTGACTTTCAAGCATTTGATTTGGGCACAATTTTGAGCCCGAATCAGAGCAGGAAAACTCACTGGAAAGATTTGAACACCGTTATTGCAGCATTCTTTTTTCGGCCATTCACGCCGTTTTCGGGAGAACTTGAGGCTTCGAGGTAGGTGTCGATCGATTCCCTCCTCTCCCTCTTTCTTTGGACTGTTTTGGTGTCTATGTAAGTGTGGTCGGAATCGGAAACCCCCAAAGCGGTTACCATCAAACCATTCTAGGTCGATTTGGCCAAATCGGTTAACACCCACGTTTAAATTGATCACACATTAGTGATCCTCTCATCATAACAAACAAAATTGATGATTGGTTTGCAATTTTTGGATGTAGTTGCGATTTTTTTGGCCACCGCGGCGGCGGTCGGTGACCGGCCGGACGACACTCTGGCAAGGCCCCAAGAGGCAAAATCATCTTTTTCTTCACGCGGATCGTGGGAAATCGTAAGTCCCGATTTTCGATTGGTACACTCTAAGCACCTAGTTCCCCATTTTTTGTCGTAAATTCCAATTTTAAAAAGTATTAGTTGATTAAGTTGGATTCGAATTAATACTTAATCAAATATGATCTTGTTAGAGACCTCGATAGGACTTTTAACTATTTGGCTACTCTTTATGTGAAAAATAAGTAGGAATTTCCAATTTTTGTTTCTTTTAAATTAGTATATTAAAAATGGAATGGTCTTGTAGAAAATTGGTTGATTATTGCTTTTATAAACTTCTTATGGAAGGATTAAGGCATTCTTTAGGTTAAATAGAAGCTAGTTAAGCTAAATCTAAGTTCATAAGGTCTTATTAAGGAAGTATTAAGTTTATATTCATTTTGGAACGGCTATAAAGACTAAAATTTATGTTGGTGATGGAGACAATGAGTTAAACTTGTGCATTATATTAAGGTTTAGGTCATACAGGAACTTATTATTTGGCGGGAAATAACTATTGTGGGATAGTTTGGTATCATTTAATGGTAAATTTTACAATTAACTATTCAATTCCATGTAATCATATATGTTAAAATCACTGTGCGGGCAAACATTTCATGTTTGCAAACACTACTAAAATCATTCAGCACGCGCCATTCCCTAATTTACTACATATCAATGGCCAAACATCCTTCTCTTTGTTCAAGCTATAAGAATTATAAAAATTTTATTTTGCATGTAATTAGGAGTATGATTTCAAAATAGGCCTTTCGTTTCTTTAAAACTTATTGAAATCATTAATACTTTTTATAATTAAAGATTCATAAAGTAAATCCATTGAAAATATTTTGGCAAAATCAATCTCATTTGTTTTAAATAAAAGTTAGGAAAGGAATATTACACTCACACTGAGCTAGGAAGGCTTCGGCTAGCCTTTTTTCCTCTAGCAACCACCTTCTACCTCAAACTCCCTTTCTCTCAGAAAGCTATTAGCATTGAGATTAATTATCACATTAACTTCATACTACACAATGTACACAACATGCACTTCTATTAGGAATGCAAAATTAAGCATGTGGAATGTAGTATCATTCTTTTTCTTCCTTTTCACTATGCTTGTCCAAGTGTCATATGACCTTAGTTTAAGCATGAACACTTCCATATCCAACACTAAACCACATCCTAGACAACATAATAATAAACAATTAAAACCAATAGAAGTCAATGGCCATTGCAAATTCATTCGAATGTTTATGAAATGCAGAATTTCAGCATTTGAGTTAGCTTGCATTCCGTTGGTTGTATCTTAATTTCCTTATTATTTCATTTTCCCTGAAATTTTACAGCATGTTCCCAACATCTTAGCGGTACTTACCCTGTTAAAGTTTCATAATTTTTTAAGCTCATTTGCATTGTCAAATGACATAATTATAGAACTTAAATTTCAGTTTTTCCTCATGCTGAGCAGCCTACATGGATTTAATTATTAACTCCCATTTCCTTTTATTCCA